GAATAAAATTTTTTATTATAAAAATTCAATTATTTTCAAAAAATATATTATTATATTAATTAAAATAGTATTAAGTATCAATTTTTATCAATTCTTTATTAAGTTATAAATAAAAATATAATTGCAATTTTTTTCTTAACACACTGTATTTTTATATTATGTCAGTATTTTATTAATTGATAATCAGTTATGTAAGAGAGATTGAGAATTAAAAGCAATTTGCGACATATTTCGATCATATCCTACATAGGTGATGTTACAAAACATTTCCGAGCAAAGTACCAAGGGAAACGTTGCCTTGATCGGGCACGATATCGAAGAAAATTCGAACGTTCCACAAAGAATCAGTGATAATGTACAGGAGACGGAGTTACAAAACGTTCTATTAGATCCGTTGCAATTGACCTCAAATAAATCGAAGTCTGCCTCGAATATTGCTTCAGAAGAGTTAGGCAAATTTGACAATTCCTCATGCCTAAGGGCTATGGAAATGCTCGACAAGTTTAGCCGAACACGATTACACAAGTTTAATCCCTCATTTCCTATTCTACGTGGAATTAATGACGGAAGCGATGAAAAGAAAGAATTGATCCCTATTTTAGAATCAGAAAATCCTTCGGAAGATCTAAAAGATTCCACGGAAAACTACTTGCGGTAAATTAATAAATAAATAATTTAATTTTCCTTTCGTCTATTAATTAATTGATTCTTAAAATGAAATCCCAGACAGTATGTTAATTATGCATCACCGCCAATCCATCAGAACTCGTACTTCACCAGAGAAGCTTATGGGAGATATTCACAATATTCATTACGCCGGGTTTATGAAATGTCCGTTGATCACCAAAGAACCAATAATATGATCAACGATAATCATGAAATTGCTGATAAAGGAACTTCTAGTGCTGTCGATAAAGAATGTTCTAGTATCATTGATACGGAAGTTCCTAGCATTGTTGATAAGGAAATTCCTAGCATTGTTGATAAGGAAATTCCTAGCATTGTTGATAAGGAAATTCCAAGCATTATTGATAAGGAAATTCCAAGCATTATTGATAAGGAAATTCCAAGCATTGTTGATAAGGAAGTTCCTAGCACTGTGAATAAGGAAGTTCCCATCGTCGTTGATCAAGAAGCTCATCAAGTTATTAACAGCAAACTTCCCGAGGTCTTACCAGAGAAAAATCCGATTTATAGTGATGAGGGTCAGTTATCTTGCTTATCCCATTGATTATGAAGTTTATTCTAAAGTTATTTTCAATAATTCTTATATAGATGACTTGGTGATGGATGATCAGTCCGATGGAGATGACGCAGAGGTAATTGTAACCCAACGAAAAAATTCCGAACAAGGGAGTCAACATGAAGAAGCATCAAACTATTCAAGAGGATTGGTTGCAGAACAGTCACATAGTCAAAATAGTAGCGCGCGGTCTACGATAAAGGAAACAAGAATTGACGAAGTATCTTCGGCGCAAGCAAAAAGTAATCCTGCAAATAACAAGCCAGATGAAAAACTTCAAGCAATCGAATCACAAGATTCTTACGATGTCATTGGACCATATTTACAATTACTTGGAAAACATAAAAAGCAATCTGAGAGACCTAGCGTAAAGCGAGATTCTAACAATTCGATCAATTCTTCTACTCAAGTGGCCTCAACCCCCGTGGATACGGCTTCTGTTTCATCTGATGCTTCACATAATTCTCCAACAACAACAACACCCTATTCTAAAATGTCTCACGAACAACACATTAATTTTCTTCGTCTCACTTTACTCTCGGAAACCAACGTGAGTATCATTTCGGATGCCGTTATTATTTCAATTTAAATAATAGAAATTATATTTACAAATCGCACTGTGTAACAGTCAACTTTATTAACTGAGCCAGATTGGGGCTTTATTAGCGTTATGAAAGAACGCTTTAGGGAAGAAAGAGAGGAGTATATCCAATGGATGTATAACAGATCACAGGAGCGCATCGTTTATTTAGACCAAAAAATTGCAAATCAACTTGAGGTTTGTCTCGGTGCCGTTCTCACAAGTTTGAAATTTCGATAATTTCTAATAAACAATTTGCCTTGATGTATAGCGTCACTTTACTTCATGTGTGGAACGTGTTACTAAAAATTATCCCGTAAGAGCTTAATCCATTAATTCCATGTTTATAAATTTTGAATACACGCATATAATTCACAAGGTCATATATTCACTAGCGTTTTTATGAAGTTTCGTTTACCATGGGGCTTGCACTTCCATCTCCAAGTCCGGATGAACCAGTTTTAAAATTCAGTAAGACAATAAAGAGAGTTGTAAGTTCTACATTTTAGCTTGGAAGTTAGATAATTTTTATTAATACTAATAATATCTTCTTCATACTTCACGAATTTAGGGAACATGTTATAAATTCCGCCTACAATTGCCAACACCATCACATACACTTAAGGTACCTTTAGAAAGGGAGTACAGATCATTTAATACGAATTTTGCTGACAATAATCATGCCGGTTCAACTGATAGCAATACGCTTGATGAAAAACAAAATCAACAAAGTGATGTTGATATGGTGGATGTACACAACCAAACGGAAGTTAAATCACCCAATAATGTTGAGCCTATTAAAGTTCCAAAAAAATATTGGCAGAAAATGGTATGTAGATTAGATATTTAATATTATGATTTAATTTTCTTTATGTTGATCAACAAATTATTTATTAAAGAGCATGCCAGTCGTTAGTCGAGATCCGTTAATTCCTTTAATGGTTATTCAACACAAAGTAAACATAGTGATATCATCAAGTAGTCTTTGTGCTCTTGTCGCCTTACAAGCATCCGCAGATGTTGAAATCGAATTGCCAATTCGTGTAACAGAGAGTAAAGATAGTAAGTAAAATTGATTGTCATCTGTTTTCGTTCTATGGGTTCTGATCTATGTGAACTTTTTTATAATGTACAGGTGATACGGTGCTTAAAACTGTTTACGTTGACAAACCGTTGCTAAAAAGGCATATGACTCCCAGACAACGGAATCAAAATTTCTACGATATAGCTTTCGAGAGTATGGCGTTCGATTTGGGCGTTGACGTTAACGATGTTTTTAACAACTCCATGGGAAATGTTCATAATTTAGGTAATTTGAAAATCCTGTGATATTCATTGATAATTAATTATTTTACTCCACATGTAACCTTTCTATTTATTTCTGCATTTTAATCTCCTAACTTAGTATCTCCGGAGTCTCAGAAGAAAGATGAAAAAATGGAAAATTGTTCTCTGACGAAGATTGGTAGTTGCAGTAATTCTGATAAACCAATAGATTCTACGTGTCACGAGATACTGTCCGATGAACATCTCCGTTCCGGGAATTTGATATATAACTTATGGAACTTTGGTGATATGGTTATCTTGATACGATGCAAAGCTCATTCCTACATTCAAGAGTCAAACAATGATAGTAAGGTTTGCATTTTTTCATAATGTTATATTTATTTGTTTACATTTGTGCATACAAAATAAAATCATTTTTGAAATAGAATCGTATAATCGGGGTTAAGACAAAATTGGAGTACCAATTGGATCTAGGATCAGAAGAAATTACAAATTTAGAGAGAGCGCGTTGGTGGATTTATACTTATATCCGCAATAATGCTCACCTTATCCTTGGTCATGTGAATGTACCTGCGAACGAATTGGTGGATATACAAAGGATGCGAATGGCTGATATTATTCCTGACGGAAATTGGTGAAATTATGCTGAAAAATCGTATATTTATCATTTTGCAACTCTATTTTGTTGAGCTTGCTAATTAATATACCTCTTTATAATAGGCCCAGGCCTCATAGCAAAATGTTACATCACGTCCTAAAAAAATTACAATGGTATGTCAGAAATGAATTTCAAAAAACATTTTTCTTTGAAAATTAATTATTGATTTCATTTAAAGTCTTCCTGTAGGATCTTATTTATTTTCCCACGAGAAAGGAGATCCACACGCTACAGTGTATAAAAGCGCTGAAATTTCATCTTTGACTAACCAAGTTCAGTATTCATCCGAACCTAATGGTCAAACGTTGACGATTCTACCCGAGGTTGCAACGCACCTATATGATCTTCACAGGGCTCACTCACAATCTCCCCTCCTAGACTTGAAGACTGTACCTTTTGTTCTGATAAAATGGTCCGGACTTCAAAATCAAGTTCCTTACACATTTCCTATTCGACCGCCAGAAAAAAGACTTGTCTACTGTTTTGACTTTATTAAATTTGGAAAATGTGATAAGACAGATGTGGGTTGACATTGGGTTTCCTTTGTAGCATAATATATTCTTTTTTTAATAATCTTGTTTAATTTATTAGTGTGTCTATCCTCATCTTTCAAAAGAACAATGTGAACTATCCGGACTAAAGACCAATTATTGTTTTGTCTTCGCTGATACGGGAAAGTGTGAGAATCGCAATGTATGTATTAATCATTTGTAAATGACTTTTCTACTACTTTTAATTTCAAATTATTGACGAAGCCACAGTGTCACTATGTACATGTTCCAAAGGATCAAATAGAAGGATTTAAGTCTGCTACACCTTTGAAGAAATCAAAGAAAAAGAAGAACAAAAATAAGAAAGGAGAAGTTTCCTCTCATGAGGAATCAACAAATCCGCTCGATCTAGATGATAAAAATATGGTTGAAAGCTCAGGAACGAGTTTAGCACCAGATTTTGAAATGTTACTGAGAGAATTTAATAGTTAATTGATACTAATAATCGTTAGTGTAAGTATCGTGAGTATTAAGTTTTCTTTCGATGATTGTTCACGTGAGGTCTGCACCTAGTTTACTGTATAATCTAAAACTAAATATCTTATATCAAGAAAGATAAGGTGTTTGGAATTTTGATTTGATAAAATAACTAGATGTTCTTTCGATATTTATGAGCGATTGTTATAGGTTTGTCAGAACGATGTTTAATCATTATATAAATTCAAAGAAATAAAAAGTCTCTTGTTTCCGAAGCTCAATTATTTCTAAGATGTGGTTCAAATGTATTCATCAATGTACTATTAAATGTGAAATAGATCTTGAGAAATTAAATAAAATACTGCATAGTTTGATCTTATGAAATAATGGGAAAAAATCACAATCAATTTTGTTCAAACTTTTTTAGCCAGGCGAAAGATACAGATGTTTGTTATCATTTATAGACTGAAGTAATTATTCCAACTGAGTCAAAAAATATAAGAACTAAGTTTAACTAGATATCAAGGGTATTTATTATCAAGAACAATATAAGAGATTCTACGATGAATAGTGAAAATTTACATGCTTGCTAACTTCAAAGAATATCGCAAATACAGTATATATTGTTACGATGGATATACAGTAAGTCTGTTGCTTTCATTTATTTCTTGTCATGTTATATTTGAACATGTTTCTTTTCAAAAGAGGCATATGAATTTGACATTCATATTTTTATGGCATTTATCAGTTATATTTCTTTTTTTTTTTGTCTATTTATCAATTATCTTTATATACAGTGTGTTAAGAAAAAAATTGCAATTATATTTTTATTTATAACTTAATAAAGAATTGATAAAAATTGATA